CCCCCCCCCCCCCGCTTCACGCACCCCATGCACAGATGTAAGCGACACGAATTTCCTCATTAGTGGCATCAGGCAGGTTTGAAATCATTGCCTTCATTGTCAGTCGCGCGAGCAACTTCGTGTTGCCCTCGTTTTGTAGAACCGTACACTGAGAAACAAACTTCGTGCGTGGGACCCGAAGTTGATGTCATATGGATCTCTGAAGTTTTCGGATCGTGTATCCAAAAACTTAAGGTCCAGCTGCCGAAGTTCAGGTCAGACATCTGAAGTACTTCGATATATACCGAAGGGCTCGGGTCACACATCTGAAGTACTTCGGTACATACCGAAGTGCCTCGATGTCTAACGAGAACTTCGGCAGCTCGACCGCAAGTTTTCGGATGCGTTATCAGAAAACTTCAGAGATCCGTATGACCTCAACCTCGGGTCCCACGCACGAAGTTTTTTATTTCCGTGGCTGGTCCCGAAAATGACGTGGAGGCTTGGAAAGAAGACGTTTTCCTGGAAAACCCCCCTCAAAGGATCCGACTTTAATAGATCCCTGCCCCCTCCTCCCCCCCCCCCGCTTCACGCACCCCATGCACAGATGTAAGCGACACGAATTTCCTCATTCGTGGCATCAGGCAGGTTTGAAATCATTGCACTCAGTCGCGCGAGCAACTTCGTGTTGCCCTCGCTTTGTCGAACCGTAGCTTTGGCGCGGCCAATTTGGCGTCGAGCGCTGTCTGTGAGACCGGGGCTTAAATTGACGAGTGGATTCGCGAGCAAATAACACTGCGCTCGAGGCTCGAAATGCCTGCAACAGCCGCTCTGCCGCGTGTGCGCTTGTGTACAAATTGATAGTGCTAAGCAAACCAGGAATGTCCGCAATGATAGTTTTGAGAAAAAAACCTATGTGTATCAGTGTAGGGTGTAGGGCTCTTTGTCATTGTTAACAATCGGCACGTAAAAAGTTCGATTTTTAAAGCTCATCGTGCTCATGAAGTTATACACTTGCGTCAGTGGTGTGGCGTACTTTGCGATATATCGATTGATCTGTCATTTGAACCTATGGAAAATAATTGATACTTAGGGTTTTCGCAGCCATCACCTTAAAAATCGATTCTTTACCATAGCTTCAAATGGGGAAACATTGATCATCGAAAATTCACGCATCGTCACTGATTCGCGCAGTAGCGTGGCGTGCTTTGCGATATATCGATTGATCGGCCTTTTAAACCTATGGAAAATTATCGATAAATAGGGTAGGGTGTTTGCAGCGAACACCTTAATAATCGATTATTTACCACAGCTTCAAATGGGGAAATATCGATAGATCGCAAAGCACGCCACGCCACTAGATTCGCGTGGCGCACGGCCTCCTTCTCTCTTCTAGGGAAGGGATTATTTCAATGGGGATTGAACAGCAACGTAATATTCAGGGCTTTCAGGTCGTCTCCTAAATATTAATAATCCTCATTTTCATTGAATTTTTGAATCTTGAAAAGTAAAGCTCTGTGTGGTAGTAGACTATGGATGCCATAAGATAGTAGTCCTCCCTCCTCTGTTCTCCTCCCAATCATTTATAAGTAGGAACGATCGACAGTTGGAAGGAGACACCAACCCATGGAATGTATTTCCCGGGTTTTTGTATGATTTTGTAGGTGCGTAACTTTCTCACGGCCTGGCGTAGGGATAGAGGAAGACATTCACCCATTCTTTGAACGCGAGGAGAAGGTTTCGCCAAATTAGCTGTTCGCGTGAGTGGCAATTTTTCCTTGCGACGGCCCTGTATCAAATAACAACGAAAAGACAGTGCAGATTCTCTTTTTTTTTCGTGCGGGGTCCTTTCTCCGACTATCCTAAGACAGGGTTGCCACAGTCAGAGAAAACGATGAAAGTTTCGAGGAAATTTTTTTAATTTACCTTCATTCGTTTTCTAGAGAGGGTGTGACGTCTAGAACAACACATTTTGCCCGGAAGTTATTTCAAATTATGTCTTTTTGGCCATATGGCACTTCTTCAAATATCGAGGAATTTTACTCAAAAGTGCCAGGGAAATCAGGGAAATGTCATGGAATTTTATTTTGTAAATGTGGCAACCCTGCTAAGAGTAGTCGGATGGCTGAGCCATGGTTTTCGGGAAAAACGGACAACATGGCGTGACACAGTTTAAAAAGAGGGCAGCTTCCGAAGGCGGGGAAGAGAAAATGATCGGTGGGGCATTAGAGACAATAAAAAAAGGAGCGAAGGCAAACGGACATGCCTAACGCGGCGCGGCGACAGCGAGGATGCGAAAATTGGCGAAATGAGCCCTGCACTAGGACCACTGCCGTGGCCGAAGGAGGTGGGCGGTGGCAGGAGCGAGAGGGGGTGGGGGTGTACAAATGGAGGATAATTTGCGGATGAGGCTCATCAGACCATCGGGGGCTCGCCAATAGCCCGCGTAACGAGCCGCCTCCAATCGACCTGAATGCCTCAAATCGTGTCCAACCAAAAACAACTTATCTCCGATGGAGACGCGATGAAGATTCGCGGGTTTTGCTAAGCACGACCCTTTGGGCCCTAGGCCGGATAAAAGCAAGTAACACCGGTGGAAGCATCATGTAAATCTGTGCGATTTTTGGCAAAACCGAGTGCGATCGTGGTCCGCTAGGTTGGATAAAACCCGATAATGGAGATGTTGCATGTGTGAGGTATTAGCGATTTGACTATTGATTCTTATGTACAAGTTCGCGAGAAACACGATGGTGCCACTGGTTTTCTCTGAAATCAACTCCCAAGCTCAAAAAAAGCTCTCAAGTCGAGGCCAAAATAGAGGGGATATCCCACGCTATCCTGAAAGTCCACCTCTACATCAAGACAAACTCTCCATGCAAAGATAGGGAGCAAATACATTGATAGTGCTGCCACTTTATTTGGGAACTCTAAAACTGAAAACACGGCAATCCTGCTAATGTATTTGCTCCCGATCTTTGCATGGAGAGTTTGTCTTGATGTAGAGGTGGACTTTCAGGATAGCGTGGGATATCCCCTCCATTTTAGCCTCATTTTGAGAGCTGTTTTTGAGCTTGGGAGTTGATTTCAGAAAAAATCAGTGGCACCATCGTGTTTCTCGCGAACTCATACATAAGAATCAATAGTCAAATCGCAAATTCCTCACACATGCAACATCTCCATTTTCATCAAAACTCTGATGTAGATTTGTGGTGTTTGATCTGAGGGATTCCTTGAAATTCAATGTGTGACAAGAAAACATCAAAATCTGAAATTTTAGCCAAATGTTTCATGTCCGGTGACTTTAATAAACTTGTTCCACTGTGCGACATTTCCCGCGCGCCGCAAATTCCCTATAACTCTCGCGCTTTTCCCAACCAGACCACCGCAAGAACACAATACTGCCGTGCTAAGGAAGAACGCCGTATGAACATTCAAGAGTTGCCGAATTTCCTTCGATAAAATGTTCATTTTTGAGGAAAGTTGTGAATATTTTTCCTTGAAATTTTCAGGAACTTCAGGTGAAATTGCGAGCAAAAGAATCTAAAAAATTGGAATGAAAATATTCATAAGTTTAATAGGAAATTCGTATTTTATAAAAGGAAATTTGGCAACGCCTGGAGGTTCATACGGCGTTTTTCCTTAGCACGGCAGAATTGATGGGAAGACGAGAGGGGATCCCATCAGGGATAGTCAATTTCACTTGTGATACAGGACAGGGTCACGTAACGATTTCCAGTTTCATTTGCAGTTTCGGCGGAGACTCCCCCTCCTTTCGGCGGGAAAATTTTCGAGCCGAGCTTTGTCTCGAACGACAACCCACGCCCGTGGCCGTTACGTTGTATCCGGAGCGTGGGACGGAACCGACGCCGTTTTGCCGAGCGTCCAGGGCGTCGCGGCGCGGGACGTCGCGTCGTCGCGGGGGGAAAAAAAACTCCGGGGTGAGAGAAGCGAGAGAAACCCCTCGCGCGTCGCGTCGTGACGCGAAACCGTTCTTCACCCGTTGAAAATTCGTCGCTCTTTTCTGCCGTGCTAAGGAAAAACGCCGTATGAACCTCCAGGCGTTGCAAAATTTTCTTTGATAAAACACGAATTTCCCGGTAAACTTATGAATATTTTCGTTCAAGAACATTTCTGACTCACAATGATGGTACATTTTCATATTTTTCGAACAAAAATATTTCAAATTTGGGTAGAAAGTGGGCGGGAAATGGGTCGAGAATCACTGGCTCGTTAGAAATACACAAGAAAAAGACGACAACTTAAAATGAAGATTTTTCGCTTGAAACGCAAAATGCTCTGGGTGGTTGACATCTACTTGATCCTCGCATATCCAACTTCAATTCTACCAAAAAAGTCGTGCGACTTTTCGCGTCTATCAGAGATATTTAAAGTTAAAGTTTAGGTGTTTCACGTTGCTTTTACAACGGTAACATAGGGCCGATTCGAGATTGCCAACTTCAAACGAACTTTTCTCGAAAAATACGCTAAATATCCTTAGATACATAGAGAAAAAAAAAGGAGGTGTTTGCATTTCGGGTATCTTGGAATTTTTTTGATGACCTAGGTCGGTACGGCGACTTATGTCATCGATTTTCTTGGAAATGGTGTAGTTTATGGCAAAAACTAATTCTACATAAAGTGTTTGAAATTATATCATGCGTTAATTAAAGCAAAAAAACGGACATTATGGTCCGTTCTTCATACTTCGAATTCCGGATTTCGCTGGCCAGGTTGTACCGACCTACGTCACAGGGTAAACACACCTCAAGATGCAAACACCTCCTTTTTTTTTTCTCTATGCCTGAGATATAACATTTTCTCATTCCTCGAGTGTTTTACTTTGATAGTGGTAAAGGGTTTTATTCTTATGTCGGTGCCACTACCTTCATTATAAGTGTCTTTTACCGATTTTTGTCCGGATCGTCCGTAAGGATGCGGCACTGTGCGGAGGGGATTTGGGATTTTGTAACTTTGTACTTTGTGTGCACTTGTATTTATTTGCGGACTGGTGGTTGTTGCAGGTGCTGGCGCGGGACCGGCGGTGGGGCCTGCGGCACGGGCCGGGGGTGTACGACGAGCCGATGGACACGATATTCGTGAAGAGCGTGCGGGAGAACTCGCCGGCGTGGCAAGCCGGGCTCCAGACCGGCGACCGCATCGTCTCCGTCAACGGGGAGAACATCGCCGGGCTCAGCTACGCCCACGTCATCCAGATCATCCAGGCCTCCGATCCCTTCCTCCACCTCCTCGTCGTCAGCAAGCAGGACGACATCCTCCAACTGGTACGTAGCCACCCCCGATTCAGTTTCTACATATACCAAGTCTAGCACCTAGAACAATGGGTCAGTTGCGCTGGTCACAGCACTGTGTTGTGGTGCTCGATTCTTGTAGACTAGTCAAATATAGTAAGATCTGTCCTAACAGCAGTTCTCTACGCAGGGTGTCCACAAGTCTGGAAATTCTGGAAAAAGTACCGATTTTTTGAGGGGGGGGGGGGTCCTGAAGTACTGAAAAAGTGCGGAAATTTCGCAAAAGGTCCGGGATTTTTTGTCATTTTTGTTTCAATTTGAGCGAGAAATTCAAATGTTCGAAAATTTTCGAATTTCGTCGGATGGAGGTACTGAAAAAGTACTGAATTTTTCTATTGAGGAGGGATTCAATTCTTTGGGAATGCACCGGGAAAGTACTGATTTTTGGCCGGCCTGTTTTAGTAGACACCCTGGTTTTGATGCTCGATTCTTGAATATCAGCTAAATATAGTAAGATCCGTCCAAACAGCAACTCTCTACGTTCAGTATTAACCCGGGGTGTTGAGCATCAGGATTTGAGGAAAAATCGGTCGGAAAAACAGGACGTGAGAAAAGTTGGCCGTCCGATCGAATTTTTGTATCGAGCTATTTCTGTGAAGTTTTAAGTTTTCTCCGAAAAAAAAAACCAGGATTTAATCAGGATTTGGAAAAATTATGAAATCAGGATTAATAGCTGTCGAAAATCAGGAAAACTCAGGACTTCATCAGGATTTCCCGAATTGAAAAGAAACTAGACACCCTGATTCCGCCATAGATTCTTTGAGCATATCCCAGAGTATTTCAGTTGTTATCCTGTCGAGTAGTCCATTCTAATCTGAAGTGTCGGTCTCTGTTCCAGTATTTCAGCGAGACGGCACACAACCCGGAAACAAACCAAAGACCGCGTTTCAGATCCCCGGAGAGCTCCGGGCCGCGCTACAGCCTGCCGGGGAAGCAAGGGATCTACCAGAATGTCTGGGAGCCGAGCTCGCTGAAGATGGTCGGGGCGGGCGAACACACGTACGACGTCCCGCGGAACCTGGGGCGCCCGCTCCCGCTACCTCCGCCGCTGACGGACTCCTCGCAGAGCTCCAACGACAGCCTCGGGAGCCTCTCCATGCCGCCCACCTACCGCAACAGCCCCGGGGTCCGGCTCAGCCTCGACGCCGGAGTCCTCCGCCACGAGAGCCGCCTGGCGCCCCTCGCCAAGAGCCCCCTCAAAGAGGAGACCGGCTCGCGGAGCAGCGACGACTCCATCATCATCTCGCGGATCCGGAAGAGCACCGAGCAGAAGGAGGAGTTCCTCAAGCGCCCCGTCTGGCCGGCCTCGATCCCGCCCAAGGAGTACTACTCGCGCCCGCAGAAGCTGGCGCCCCCCGTGTGGCCGCCCCCCGGGACGACGCCCTCCCCGCCGCCCGCCCTCCCCGCCCGTGATACTAGTATTATAAGCAAGCAGAAGTCCAACTTCATCTCCGTCCTGGATCATGGCGAGGAGGCGCCCGGGCGGGGGAGTCGTGGGGTGGAGCCCTCGGTGGAGTTCCAGATCGTCCAGGCGCGGACGCGGCAGTTCGAGAACGGGCCCGCGGCCGTGGCCGGCAAGGACAAGACGGAGCTCTACCGCAACGAGTTGTCGCGCCTCTCGGCCAAGAGGAACGTCCCCAACGTCGCCGTCAGGAAGAGGGAGTTCGAGTCCATCGTCAACGAGCAGAAGACGGCCGCCCTCTCCAAGGAGCCCAAGTCCCTCGATGCTTTCACCGGTAAGTGCACCTCAGTCATCTCTTGTCGTCTTGTCCGCAGATCCTTCAGGCTGAAACCCAATGGAGATGTTGCATGTGTGAGGGATTTGCGATTTGACCATCGATTCTTAGGCCTTGTCTCCACGGGACGTTTTCATGGGATTTATCCCAAGTTCGAATCGCAGGAATGAAACTTCTGGGATTTTTCCCAGTTACCGTCTCCACGGGACGGGGCTCATACAGTCCTGCGACTAGTTTGCGCGGGAAGATAAATTAGTTAAAGTCGAGTATTTAACCGGGATTAAAATGATAATTGCACTCAATTGACAATTAGACACATTATTTTAACTAAACAAACATTAACAATGTAGTAATGAATAAAATATCGCACAATTCGTTTTCACTTCTTCTTCTTCTCTCAGTGGGTCCTAGGGGTACAAGTACCATACTTGGTACTGGGAAAAATATTGATTAACTCAATATTTTTCCCAACTTCGTAAGTGGGATTTTTCCCTGGGACAAATCTCGTGAAACGGCTCGTGGAGACTAGGCCTTATGTAAAAGTTCGCGAGAAACACGATGGTGCCACTGGTTTTCTCTGAAATCATCTCCCAAGCTCAAAAAAGCTCTCAAAGTGAGGCCAAAATGGAGGGGATATCCCACCCTACCCTGAGAGTCCACGTCTACATTAGCAGGGTTGCCACTTTATTTGGGGACTCCAAAACTGAAAACACGGCAACCCTGCTAATGTATTTGCTCCCTATCTTTGCATGGAGAGTTTGTTTTGATGTAGAGGTGGACTCTCAGGGTAGGGTGGGATATCCCCTCCATTTTGGCCTCACTTTGAGAGCTTTTTTTGAGCTTGGGAGAAGATTTCAGAGAAAACCAGTGGCACCATCGTGTTACTCGCGAATTTTTACATAAGAATTAATGGTCAAATCGCAAATCCTTCACAGATGCAACATCTCCATTCTTACTATCAAACTTTTCATCCAACTCTTGGATGCAACTTGTCGAATGAAAAGTGTGGGATGGAAATTTGAACAAAAAGTTGGAATGGTATCTTCCAGCCGACATGAGTCGAAGCTGTATCTTCGCGAACCGCAGGCTGATGACAGTATCACACTGCAACGGTAATTGAATCAAAGTATTTTGCGTCCAACTTTTCGTTCAATCATGTTGGATGAGAAGTTTGATGGTGTGAATTGGGCTCAACAAGTCTTGGAAAGCTCCAGAAGAGGAAAACCCAGAACCGCCTGAGATGTACAGGGGATTTTGCTGCAGAACCTTGAAATTGTTTCTTTCAGTGGACAAATCACATTTCTTTTGACTATGCCCATAATTTTTTTTTTTTTTTTTTTTGAGAAATCATACTTAACGAAAAGAAATGTAAATTCGAATATTTAGAAGAAAGCTAGGAAACAAATTCGATGCTCAAAATCCCTGAAAAGTTAGGGAAGTTTTAAATTCAAGAAAAGTTGTCACTCTACGCGTCGCGAAATCTCAGCGTCCCTGAAATTTCTGTCTTTATGGTAAAGAAACATTGGTGCAAGTCCAGAGATTTTTTGCTTCTAAGTGTTCAGCTATCTTTGGAAAATCTGGGAGAATTTTTCAACAAATGTGCAAAATTTTCCCCCTTTTGAAAATCAATTTTAAAGCTGGGTTTGTTTTTATGGAGAAGAAAGAGAGGAATCCGAAACTTTAAAACTGATGATTTATTTATTTCTGTTTTTTATTTTTTCATTTATTTTTTCCTCAGGCTCGTCTGGGAATCGTCTAATTCCTGTAGGTGGTGGCAAACTTCACTGCGAGCCGCCGCCGGAAATTGAAGAAGGACCTGAAAATGATGGTAAGACCTTACTGCAACCACGTATACATTTTATATTTCATCATCAAGCCACTAGCTTATCGGACTTGGATTTTCAAATTCACCTATTGAGTGTTGCCTCTGCACAGATGCATGAGTGTATTCGTGTGCATGCATGCTAATGCGTGCTGCACCTATTCATGCTATTGTAAACCCCTGGAGGAACCGGTAGCAGGGGAAATTAAAGATTTTACTAATCCTTGCATTATATCTATTGTAATGTATGTGCTTTCAACACAAGTAGACAAGAGTTTTGGTACGTATTTCTCAAGATAGGGTTAAGCCTCTATTCATAGGTCAGTGCTGCCTAGAAGTGAGTCCTTGATTGCTGCAGGACCATTTTTCTTAAACTAAATTTGGCTCCATTTTGATTCTTTGTGCAAAATGAAAGCAACTAATGAATTTTCAAATTTGAGATTCATTTTTTTTTAAGCAATGAAGTGTTTTATCTGTTGAAGACAAAGATGGGTCAATCAAATGATATAAGAACTGAAAGATTTTTTTTAAAGAATGGCTTTGAAAGGCTTTTTCCAGTAAGCTTTTCATAAGGAACTTGCTGTATCATGCATTAAAACAACAATAAAATAAAATTGGGATATCATTCTATTCTTATTCTCATTAGATTGGATTGTAAGTAATGGGATTAGTCAAGTGGAGTAATTGATAATTAAGTTAATCCCTCCTGCTACCGCTAATCCTCTATAAGCTGGTTAATAGCTGTCTTAAAAAAGTCACACTCTCACCTCTTTGTCAATTTTCATCTCATGTTGATTTTTATAATTATTTCATATTTTTATGTATCTTTATCATGGTTTTTCCTCATCTGCACCGTTTGACTTTATACTATCTCTGAAGAAATTTATGAAAATAACATTGGAAATTACGTTGTGCACCTTTTCTTAGTTTTTCTTCACAGAGTACAATAAAAAATCTAGAGCTTTCGAAGTGAGAGTTTGTACTGAATAGCGAGGGTTAGTTTTGTATGAAATTAGTCAGTGTCTGTAATACTTGCTGAATGAACGTAAATTTTTTTACGAGATAGAAACTACACTCAGCAGAATATTTTGTGTAAAAGCAGCATGTGTCATTCAATGGATGTGTTACTTTCTTTTTTACCTGAAATTGCCTGTTGATTGAGAATGCGATAATTTCTTATCATATTTTCTCTCCTCTTACATTTTTTCACTCTTCTCTTTTGAAAATTTTCAATTTTCGTCCAATGACTCCTAGTTTCATCCTACTGTAATTTATTTATGTTAATCTTTTTTTTAAAAAAAATATCGTTTTCGTAGGAGGTCGAAATAGAGATATTAGGTACAGGGAAGGCTGTTGAGAAGAATCAAATTATTTTCTGTAGAAGGTCACAAAAAGTTTTTTAGAGTCAGTAATTTTCATGAAAGGTTTATCTATTTTTAGGCACTGATAAACAAAAATCCTTCAATTCTTGGCCCCAGAGACATAAAACAGTGGCTCGCCAGGATTCATATTTAGCAGCTTGTAACAAACCTACAAACAAAGGTATTTTAATCATTATTTTCTCTTTGGGATCCCCTTCCCCCCATCCTCCTTCAGATTTTATTTTAGATTTCAGGATTTATTAGCATTCTATTAATTCATAAATGTTGTCAAGATTTGTGTAATTTTTAAGAAAGTGGTCACTTGAGCAAAATACTCTATTCCTTTCTACAAAAATCTGCTAGGCCATGAAAGATGTTGAATTTTAGTACAGAGGCGAAATTCATTTGAACCCTGCGTATCTATTGATTCAGCTTCTTTATTCTCCATGTTGATAAAAAAATAATAAAAAGCCCATTTCTCTCTCTCAAGTTGCTGGTAGTTTGAACCCAGTGTGTTCTGATTACCTTATCAGATTTTTGTGAGGAACCACTTTCCCATAGGTTACTCATGTCTTGATGAATCACAACTGTTCACTCATTCAAGTGCTTGCTTAGGAAGGAAAACACTAGATTTTCTTTTTTTGTGTTTTAATTAACCATTGCATATCATAAAGAATCAAGAGTAAGATTGAGAATATTTTTGAAAAATTGATCCTTCAGGATTCATGACCTCTAAAAAGAATTTTTTTTCTTTTATTATAATTGTGCACAGTTTGGCTTACATTTTATCTATTTTTCAATGGCTTGCTATGTGTTTTCTTGCAATTTTTTAATCTGTATGATAAATGCCTCTAAAAATCTTAGCGTGCTAGTAGTGATTTCTTGGAGCAATAGCTAAAAAATTATGCATATTGACAATGAAACTGAAAAAATGTGTATCTCAGTCGCAATGTTTCATAATCTCAGCTCCTATTTCATTTTTTAAAATGATACGGAACCTACATCATTGCTTGATATTTTCGGAGAATATTCTTCATGCAGAGAGGAAAAATCACTTGAGTTGTCGAGAAATGATGTTCAGTAGTTTCCCATGTAGAAAATAAAGTTTGACAGAAAGTCTGAAACGCAACAAACCGAGATTCGCATTCTACAGTTTCACCATCGATATGAAGATTGAGGGTTCAGGTGCCAAACAATTTTCGCTTCGGACAAAGTTAATGATTTCTCATTTTTGGGGGGGTCAAGGTAGCATGATGCTGTTGCTTCTGCTTTTTTAGAAGTTGGTTTTATGAATTGAAATTTGAAAAGTAATCCACTGTCCAATGCATCTTTAACATTTATGTGCGAGACATTTACTCTGAAAATTCACTCAATTCGGGTAGCCAGCTTTTCGAGCACACCTGATTTTTATGAGCATTCTGCAATTTTTGAATATGCATAAAGACATTTTGGAGTTCTGCCAATTGTTCAGGCATGATGTTTGTATCTTCAAGCATCATACTACCCTAAAGTCTCATATTTTATACTGTTGGAACTCATACGCTTATAGGTTTCAATATTTAGAAAATCTTTGTCTGGGAAGTATTTATGAACTAATCATGTCTTCAGTAAATTTTTTATTTGATTTATCGAAGTTGATAAAATTTAAAGGATGCAGTTCAAATTTTTTGTTTGTTTTGATTTAAACTTTTTATTTTAGTTTGTTTTAATAATTTTGTTTGTTTTTGTTTTTTTTCTCCCTTGTTTCTCATCCGCTCTTGCACCAATAGAAACACTATTCAGGCACCCTGAGAAAATGAATGATTCTCAGTCCTTCAGTTGCAGTGTTTCACCACCTAATTGTGATACCCCTCCAGCCCCCAAAGCCCGTCCTAACCGACCAAACAACCTCCCCCTCCCCAATCGACCCTCCAAATTCAGAAATGGTGATAACAATATCTGTTACATTGGTGGCGAATTTATTGAAGGTTAGCATTTTAATTTACATTTCATCGGTTTTGTTCCTCACCTAGGCATATTTCAATTGTCTGTTGTGTAACAAAATAATATTCAAAACTCAAGAAGTACAAATTTGGATTCCATCCAATAAAGCTTTACGAGTGTCAGAATTTGAGCATAAATATTTGAGCCTTTTTCTCCTTTGAGAGAAATTAAGAATCCTTTAAATGTCAAGGCCTCTGTTAATTATGAGCAATGAGAACCACATCAAACACTGTTGAATGACTAGAATCAGGACAAAAAAGTTTCTCCATATTCCTGTCTAAGCACTGAAAGCACAGCATCTGAGATTTAATTGTCAAATTCCGCAAGTTGTCGTGCACAAAGCTCATTCCATACAGTAGAATATAATGCAGTCCCTTATATTAGCAAGAGAACTCCGATTCAATAATATTCTAAAACAATGCCACAGCTTACGCCATGACGTCCTCCGAATGTACCACCTTCATTATCGTGTCTCAGATTCTGTACATTCAACATGTTCCCTTTGTCTATTTGAAAATTAGGGCTCACTTACAATTAGTCTCACACTAGCACTGGCACTTTCTTTTATTTGGCTGGCTAGAAAATGGCACCATAGTGTATTCTGGGCATTTGCACTTGAATTTTTCAAGGTATAATGTGATGTTTCATGGTGAAAAGGATTCCAGCTCTCAAAGTAAAACATTTTTGAGGAGTAATTTTTTACAATTTACTTGATAGTTTATATTTAAGTTTCAAGTACTTTGATGGAAATTTTCTAGTATTCTCTATTTTAAGTTGAGAATGGTCAAGTTACTTATTCTCTTACGGATGTAGAATGTACAAATACATTTTACTCTCTCTAGTTTAAATTTTGAATTATTTTTCCCATGAAACATCACAAAATGTAATATATCACTCAATTATTTTGCAAAAGCAAGAAAATTTCAAATGTATTTTTCTGGATCTTTGCTATGAATGGGACCATCTCCAAAATCTGGGAACAGGAACCAACTCAATGATGGAAATAAGCTGTCTGCTTGTTGGTTGGCGGTCAGGAACACTTGAATAACATTTTAATTCATCGCCAACCTGCAACAGATCATTTATTTCCCCTGAAAAGTTTGGGACTTCTCCACCAAATGCAGTTTATGCAATGCAATTGGCTCAAATTCACTATTCTGTTCTGCAATCACTACGGCTTTGTATTAGGCAATCGTGTATAATGCACAAGTTATTTTGCATGAAATATTTGAGTTTTTCCTTTCTAATGTCAATGTTCACTATCCGTCTTCATTGCCTTATAGCTTGCCCCACCATCTACTTTCTTTCATTATCATTCCTCATGCTAGTCATTTTCACCATTGAGACACTGAAATAAAAAAATATACATTTATGTCAAAAAGAAGAAATGTTCTTCTTTATTTCTTTATTATAACTTTTTTCTGTACTATTGAAGAGTATTTTCAGTAACTTGATTAGATTATCACACCTGTTTTTTTTTGCTTTCCCTCTTATTATAGTTCCTAGTCCTGAAGCACAAAAGGACCCTAATCAAATTTTAGATGTATCTTTTTTGAATTCATACTCAAAAGAAAATACTAATGCAGCTACTGAAACAGGTAAGGAACCTGCAATTCCCTCTTCCTTTTTTCCTTTCTTTCCCTTTGTTATCTTTTTACAACAAAATAACGGCCCTCGTGGCCCTCGTGGTAGATCTAAGAAAAGGGAGAAAAATGCAGCTACACAAATTCCTCTTTTCCTCCTCTCTCTGTCGTTACAAGAAGAGAGCGGAAAGAAAGGAGGAGAGAGTAGGATAGAGAGAGGAAAAGCAGTAGAGAAAAATTGGCATTTTTAAAAAAAACAAGTGTATAGCCAAATCAGCTCTTAGCTTAGATCCATTAATTAGTACGAGAGGACAAAAATAAATCATGTATTTTTTTGTCAACATTTTTTTCTGCTTTTGTTTCCGCCATCCTCACCCACTGGCTTTGAAACATTTCTCAGGAAAATAGATAAAATCCATTAATTTACCTCTCAATTAGTTCCATAATTTGAGCTTCACCTGCTTAAAATGTCAATTTTTTAGGATTGCATCCCCCCTAATTTACCAGGAGAAACCGAGAACCTCTCCTCTCCTTCCACAGCTCTTGATTTTCCAATTATCCCTCATTATCTCTCTGGATCTGTCTGATTTAAGTATCTGTAATAGGCGTCGTTTGCATCTTCTTTCAGTAATTTCAGTTATGATCAAGTTTTATGAATTTCTTGTTGTAGAGGCGGATCCAGCAATTTGGCGACACCGGATTTCCTCCATTTAAACCTATGCTAAATAATCGATTCTTGTCAGAACACGTGGCCCCTCCAAGAATCGATAAATTTTCAAAGGTTTATATGGAGAAAATCCGGTGTTGCCAAATTGCTGGATCCGCCAATACTTTACGAAGCTGAGAACAATGCATCACAAATTGTACTTACTAGCAGTCTGGGGTTTTTTAATTTTTTTACTAAATGTATGTAACTTGTAAGTAGGAATTCTAGGGGGTTACATCATTTGCAGGTTTCCGGCCCTAATCAATTTTGGGCAATGAAGGAATTTAAGACTTACTTGAATTAAAAATCCAAACAGATACAAAAAAGAAACAAAGGCAATCAAAGCTGACACTACATCTGTTGAAGGAAAAATTACAATTACAAAAACTCAATCTTGGGGGTAAGAACACTTTTCCCAAAATCAGATTTTTGATTTATTGTCTTTATCAATTTTACAGAAGATGACCGTTCTACCAGGAGAGTAAGCTACCTGAAAGCCACTTGGAATGATCTTGTCACTCCAGAAAGTGATATAGAGCTAAGTGATTCAGAGCCTGTTTCCGTCACTCATCGCAAGTAAGTAATTTTTCGTTCAATTCTGCCAGAAAAAAATAATCTCTATCTCAAAAGCCACGAACAATGAACATCTTCACAGTTAGGCAGGATGTTTCAAGCACATCTTTCATCATTGAGCTTACTTTCTTATCACTGGTATTATGCTTTTCATTGATTGACTCCTTGTATCATTGATTTTGCAGTGCCAATTTGTCCTCCAGCCTCCTAGCTCATTAATTTGAATATTGACCTTATTGTTTTATTGCTCGTCTAGTGTGGAAGATGGCAACTCTTAGTATTATTGCTTCAAGTTAATAATTACCTCTTTCACATTCCACTAAACATCAGGAATTTCCTTAAAGAGTCGCAGGTTTGAAACTTGCTTTAGGGTTCAATAAGGTTATTGATGTTCTTTAGATTGCTTTTAAGATACTCTTGAACTCAAGGACTAACCACAAGTGAATTGTAATCGAAGAAATTAGAGAGTCCTTGTTTTCTTCGGTTTCAGAGGTGTGAAACTGAAAAGTTTTGACTTTAATGATTTCCAGTAGATCCGTGTATAAAAAAGAAGTCAAGTTTTTGTTCAATTTGTCATGATAAAGGTGTCCTTTTTCAGTGGACGATTTCAGTGTTAAAAGAATTTCATCATAAACTGATTTTTTTTTTCTTTTCCAAATTTTGGACCTTAATCTTGATTTAAAGATATTAGGTACATATGTAAGCTCACAGGGGAGCTTTCAAAGAATTTGACATTTCAGAAAATTCAATAACTCCTGTTGAAAATTTGGCTCAGAAACCCCCCCCCCCTTCCCTTGTCCCTTGTCCCTTGTATAAGAATAAAGAAGTGGAAAAAGATTCGTATCAGCAGCATGTAATGTAGACCTAACATAACCAGGTAGACATATTGATAGACTGCTTGAGCTAATGGCTCTCCTTGTAGAATTTTTTCTCATTAATTCAGTAGAATTTGAAATCCCCCCCCCTCCAAGAAAATTTCATTTTTCAATTTCTTGTTGAAATTGGAGTAGTTATTTATGCCAGTACAAATATTTCCAGAATCCAACGGAAATGGCATGCGCCTTTATTCCCTGGTGATATTCAAAGGTTGAGGCGCTTGTTTGAGGACGCTGCTGCATCCAGCAGTACTAAATGGTCTGCTGAATTCAATATTTCTGTGTGTCTCTTGGTTGTAGTGTTGCTCGCATTATTTTCAATTTACTCGCTACTAACAGATTCCAAAGATTGCATGATTAATCTCAGTTTTGAATGAAAAAAAAAAACTTTCTAACATAAACTTCTTCCAAGAAGAAAAAAAGATACAACCGCTGTTTTTCTACTCTCTCGCAAAATCCAAAAAAAAATATACGAGAAAAAAAATAAACAAAAAAATACATCTTAAAAATATACATCTTATACGAGTTTTCACGATCAGCCGTTAAATTTCGAAAATACCGCAAGCGCGTGCGAAAAGGCTTCCGCAAGATCCGAAAAAATAATCGCCATTACCCAAGACCCCGCGAATACCCAGGTTTACCTCCGTCAAAAGTCTGTTCGAAAAGAAAATTGTGCTCATTCCGGGTATCGTTCGGAAAGTTAAATTCCTCCAATGTCCCCCTTCGTTTTTCGTCACGCACCCTTCGCACAGGTCTGCACTCGCCGCTTTTCTGAAAAATTATGTCACTCCAGATCCTCTCCTCTTCGAGTTTTGTCACGCCTTAAATCGGATATTTTGTCGACATTTTTACGAAAACAGTAGAATTTTTATTTTATTTTAATTTTTTATTTTTATTTTATCTGCACCTAGTCCCAATTTTACGTTTGACGTCACGCAGCGCCAGCGTCAAACCCTGCTACCGTAGAGCTTCACTTATTCTGCCGTGCTAAGGAAGAACGCCGTATAAACGTTTAGGCAGGGCCGGATTTACTTACTTGCCGCCCATGGGCCGTCTGTATTTTGCCGCCCTCTTCTCATTCGTTTTGAAACATCAATAAAAACCATCAAGTTAACGTGCCGGAGAGGGAGAGGTGCATAAGACGTGTTTACTCGTGTTGAACACATTTTTTGCGAAAGCCCTGACAACACTACTAGCACCGAACTTGGCGCGAAAGTTAAGTTCCGTAAACCTATCTCTGTGTGGACAAGGCTCATATGAAATGAACGAACAGATTATGAAAGAACAAAATAATGTTAACTCCGTCGCCGCGCCGCGCTGACCGCACTTCGTTTAGCGCAATGCGCGAAGTATTCATGCAGTCTTGTAGGCACTATGCGTTTCACGCCGCCCGCTGCTAACTCCCGCTGCGTCTTTGACGCAATGCGTGAAGTATTCTTGCAGTATTGTAGGCGCTAGTATGTGTTACATGCCGACCGCCGCGCCGAGGGTTTCTCCTTTCATTTTAAGTTCTCGTCATCATTTTCTCTCTGCGCCGCGCCGTTCCAGGCCAGATTCCGTGTTCGGTTTCTCTCTTAGTCTTACCTCGATTAATTAAAGGTGCTGTCTATTGTATCACAGAGAAACGACAAAATTAGAGATATACTCTCAGGAAAGAGAGATTTTGTCATCTTTTCTCGTTTGTAATTTTTTTTCTGAATCGATTTTTCTTTATAGCTACATTTAAAAAAATGGCAACATTTGCCGCCCCCTAAATTTGCCGTCATGGGCCGCGGCCCATGTGGCCACCCCCTTAATCCGGCCCTGCGTTTAGGCGTCGTCATGTTTCCTCTAATATAAAACGAATTTATTTGGAAAATTGTGAATGTTTCTCCTCAAGTTTTTCAGACAATTTTGTTCGCAATTTGATCTAAAACATCTGAAATTTTCAAAGAAAAATATGCATAACTTTCCTAAAAAATATATGTTTTATCGGGGGAAATTTGGCAACTCTTGAATGTTCATGCTGGCGTTTTTCCTTAGCAAGGCAGCATTCCATGGGCGGCCCCAAAAGCACCATTTTAGATTATTTTTAATGCCCCCCCCCCTTTACGTATTTGATTTGTTTTGTTTTGTGGAAAAACAAATTTTAACGCGTTTGGTCCAAGTCAGCCAGGAGCCTGTTCAGTCGAGCTAAATCTTGGAATCACTACTACCAACTTCCGCATATTGCCTTCAAACCCCTCCCTTGAATGTACATCATTATTTGTGTTGTATTTTTACACGTATTACTACCATTTTTTAAACAAAAAATTCTTTTTAGTAAACCGCGGAAAAATCGTACATATTATGACCGTGTACGCGTAGGCGTACCGCATCCCGCATCGTCGGATCGCTTTCAACTAAGCGGTTGAATTTTTCCGAGGTTGGTAGCTCGGTTGCGCGCGGTCGCGTCGAAAATTTGAACGGACAGGTTTCGGACCTGCTCGCCGCACGGCCATGCGTGCCGCGCGTCTTCCCCCTCCCCTCCTCCCGCCGATCGCCTTACGCACTCGTCGCTTGCCCCTCCTCTCCCATCATTTGTTTACAAATACGGTGTTTTTTCTCGTACTTTTCATGAGTGTGAGTGCTCAATTTTTGACAAGTTTTCACCGGTATCCGTATCCGCGATTTTTACGCGATCAATTTCATTTTTCATTCAGTTCGCCCGTGACCATCCGCGCGCTCGCGTCTAATTCGAATGATTATTTTAACCATCTTATATTACCGGTATAAGTGATTGTTCTTGCATCTGATTGTTCTGTTTTATTCCATCTGTCTAATCTTCAAGTATGATTTGTCGTGAGAGGGACTCTCATCTTCTTTTATCTTATCAATAATAGTGGTGGAGTGATTTTTTTTTTTTTTTTATTCGATCAGTATTTATTATCTTCAAGTATGATTTGTTGTGGGAGTTCTTGGTTCAGTAAAAATAAATGCGTGTCAACGGAGAGTATTGTTTATTTAGACTTCAAAGAGGGCCGTAACAATATTCTAAAAAATCTGTACAACTCTATGAAAAAACGGTAATAATTTTTTTTTTCACTATATCTAGGTCTCCCTCTGAATCTATTTGCCTGATATTCATAATTCTAACTTTAATGTGATTTTCTTCTTCTTTTTAACTTCTTCTTTTTTTTAAATGTTCTTTTCAAGAAACAATCAATCATTGTGATATGTACCTACTCTCTTTTTTACTATCGCAAATGTCATTCTGAAGAGGAAGGATTGTCGTATTTTGATTTATCTTCAGTTTTTTTTTTTCCAGTCGGATCATCCGACTTTTTTCAATTCTTTCATCTTCATTCTTTCATTCTTTCTTCTTTGTGTGTCAAAGAAAATTCTTGGTGCATTTCTCAAAAATATAACAAACTTTTACTGCAGAATTGGGCACCTACTGAGCAAGGTACAAACTAAAGCCCTATTCTCTCTTCAAAATTTTAAAACAAATGTTTGATTCACACAGTAGAATTTTTCAAAAATCCAATCCCTGAGAAGAAATAAGCACTTGTAATTAATATGATGTCAATGGTAATAATCCAATTAATGTCATTTGTTTTCTATTTAGTTAGTGTCAAGTGTATATGATGATATTTCTCATAGAAGTTGATTTCCAAACTTCCGTTGCGTTAACACATACCTACCTGTGTAAAATTTTAAAATGGAATGTAATATGGTGCTTTAATTCATACCTTTCTCAATGGCCCATTCAGGACGAAATATATCGTCAGATCTTTCAAAATGAACTAACATCCTGAGTTTCTACTTACCAATAGATAGAATGATTGCCTTTTCTATATAAAAAATCCACATATTAACTCTATAACTCTACCCGCTGGAATTATTTTAAATGAACCAAGATTTTTCCAGCCTGTTCTTACCTGAGCCATGACAGGCGACTCTCGAGAGTTTGAAAGCTTTATTCTTAGAAGCTGTTCTGTTGTAAAATCAATAATGTGAAGTCATTTCATAGTGTTAGAGGAACTTCATTTTTGGTTCTCTTCTCCCAAAAAGTATCAAATAATTGGGACTTGCACTCGACCTAACACCAGTTTTCAAAAATAATTCGTGCACCACAGTACTTCAAAACTAGCTTAAATCAAATAAGATATTTTGAGAAAATGGTCAGTCAAAGGTATCATCTGAGCTAGCCAGCTGTCAAATCAGGGACTAATCAAGTATTAAGTGATGCTCTTGTTGCCTTTTCTTCATCCTCCTTCCCCCCTCTATCCAACCCACTTGTAATGCAAACCAAACCTACTGTATTGAATTACCTTTTAACCATAGTGTCTCTTCCCAGTATATTCCCTCAAACAATCACAAACAAAATTAAATCGAAGTGCTAAAAAATTTGCAGCATTTTAAGAAGTGCACTCTGATCTTCTTGGAGATTTTATTTTTAAACATTGGGAAGGCTATGTCATGCAGGGCTTAACTTTTATTTCCCCTCATAATGTGCTGTAATGTAACCTCCGACCTCTTCTTTCTTCTTAAGTATGTTACGCACTACTTGAATGGTCCCGTACCTCTCAACTGATATTTTTTTTCATATCATTGCTATTTCATGAAACATTTTAATTTAAAAATTAGCTACATCGGATTTGATTTTGTTCAATCCTCTCTCGCTCCGATTCCTCAGCTGATAATTTCGTTTTTTGTTTTAATTTACAGTGCATTAAGTTCGCGGCTTAGAGCAACCTCCACTGATCTCAATAAAGAAAACCCTGAGTCGGCGATCAAGCAAGGATCCCTGCATTGCAAGGTTACAATAACTGACGGCAAGGTGAGTACAATTCTTCCAAACTTCATTTATAAACTTGTGAACGTGGTACTTAGGATTAAAATTTTAAACGGGATAGACTCCCAAAAACGAATTTCTAACTCTCAGCAAAGAATAACAATAGACAGGAAAAGGTGGGGACGAAGCTGAAAAAACACACATAATTACAATAATTACAAATACTCGCACTCTATGGGACTTGTTGGTTTTAATTTTTTTTTTGTTGACCGTCACCTGCTGCCCTTGTGCGGGCAAAATATCAATTAAAGTTCTCTTTTTTTTCCGGGAGGCTTGGTTGGAATACCCTTGTCTTCCAGGGACCAGTAAGTAACATTGTTTTTAGCTTTTGTTTTTTTTTTTTAGATTTTTTGATTCTTTTTGACAATCCGGGAAATCGGTTGAAACGTCCCGTGATTTGTAATTATTGTGTGTTTTTTCAGCCTTGTCCCCACCTTTTCCTGTCTATTTTTATTCTATGTTCTCAGGCTGCTATAGTGTACTTTTATCTATAGCTTTCAGCAAATCCATGAAGTATTTCAATCAACCAGATAAATGTCCTAGATCTGGAATAAATATTGGCATAAATGACCAATGTATGAGAAAACGAGTGTTAGTGTATGATATCACAACCATGAGCTAGCAAGAGGTATAGGGAGGATTAGAAGAAGAGTAAAGCATTGTCGGTGGTAAATCTGCCAGCTGTGATGTAATGCCTGCCTCTACCAACTGTGCTTGATTAAGGGGTGCATTGCAAAAGCGATTTAACCTCTGTTCATCATCTAGTCTAGTCCGCCCATGCAGCCCAACTTGACTTTTGGGTGTTGGTCAACTTTAATGGAACCCTCGCACAAAACGTAGACATTTTTAAAAATTATATTCATAATTTCTCTTTTTTGAAACAGTTTTTTCGAGGCTCACTTTCTATGTGGATTTTCAAAAGTGTCTGTAATGTTCTTTTTTTTTAAATTTTCCAGAAAGCGAATGATCGTTCATGGAAACCAGTGTGGGCCGTCCTCAGAGGACCAACACTATACTTGTACAAACAAAGGAGAGATTCTGTTCCAAGTGTACCACAAGAGGTGAGTTCATCATGTTTGTATCATTATCCATGGGGAAAAGGATCTTACTTCAAGGAGGAAATATTTTCAGTGAAACAATTTTTTCGGAGTTGGCTCGAAATGTGGTTTTTTGGAAAACTTCATAAGGCCCCCCCAACAAATAAGAAACAAGCAGATTATTTTATTTTTTGTTCCTACAAAAAGAATAAAACTTCATTTTAATCTAGAAATTTTGCGCCCAAGACATGGCAGATTTAAATCGAAAATAGCATTTTCCCGAAACAAGGTTTTTTTTTTAAAACTGTAAACCTCAAACTGTTTACCTTCGGTTTGTTCAGGCACTTTTGGGTGATTTTTGTCCCAAATTATTTGCACAATACTCCTGTATGCTCGGGTATCTCTAAGTAAATTTTGAGTTTTTGTGAACAGAGGTCCCTTTTCTGCTGGATGGTTACATCTATTTCTTTCACCCATTTTAAATAATTGTAAAAAATATATTTTAACACAATTGAACATTTTAAAAAAGTGATTGCCCAAGGAATAACTGTACGTTAGAAACTCTTGTAAACAGTTTTGTCAATTGTTGAGTTTTTAGTTCTCTGGCCCACCTATGTGAATGGTGTCAAATATCCGCAATGATGTGCTCAAAATCCTGAAATAAATCTGGGTGCTGTATTTATTGCCATATTAACTAAAAGGAATGCTTTTGTACTCAGAGAAAGTATATGTTAGCTGTGATTTAGTCATGTTCATAATCTTTAAAACCTACTTTTGAGCAAGTTGTGGTGCCTAAACACCAGGTTCTCCATTATTTCCTGCCTCTAAAGTTCTCTGACTTATACTAAATTTCTAGAGAGAAATCTTAATTATAGCAAAAAATGTAATCTCTTTTCTCCTCTCTTGTTTCAGACTCCTTTGAACGCTGATAAATTTGATTTAGGGTCATCTTGTGAATGCATTAATCTTCGATGCTCTACAGTAGATGTAGCCAGTGATTACACAAAGCGGAAACATGTTTTCCGACTCAATGCTCATTCGACCGGAACAGAGCTCCTCTTACAAGCAGAAGATGGTTCTTCCATGATGCAATGGGTTCATGTGCTTCAAAAGCAAGCAACCCAACCTCTAGCAACTAGTGAAGTAAGTACATACTTATGAAAAATGTCTTGCATCCTTTCAGTGTTCCTACTTACACTCTGATGTACATAGTAGTATTGCCCTTTGAAGAACATGGTATAAGACATCATCCACCATGGCACATATCATGGTTTCCTCTATCTTTGATTCATAAATCAGTGGTACACACATTTTTAATGGTTGCTTCACTTTAAACGTGGATGAAATCAAGGTGAAAGGAACCATAAAATGCACTACCAGGGTTCTTTGAAGGGCCATGTCTCTGTTAATATCGGATGCGAAAACTTGGTGTTCGGACAGATCTTATTATTTTTTGCTGATCTGTAATCTGAAATCGGCAAAACATGATTCTGCGACTAGTAAAGCTGACTCATTATGACGCATCAGTGACTAATATAGTTTTTTCCAATTCGATCTCATCAATCAGTATTGCATGTATTTCGTTTTTTTTCATAATTTCCACCTCAACTTTATTTTTTAAGAGAGAATGATCAGGAACTTTGCCGACGATTTTTCGAAAATATCTTAAGGAAACCCGTGAATGCTCTCATAAAATTTTATGCTTTAACCACAGTCAGCTCTGCTCCAGAAAAGAAAAATGTGACATGATATTTACTGCATAGTAAATGGAGCTTAGATGCTTTTGAAGTTTCTTAATATTTGATTTCCATGCTTTTGATATCATTCATTTTTCATAAGATAATTCAATTATTTTATTCACCCTGATTTTCAAGCTGAGTCAGTTTTACTAATCCAAGACTGCTGAGTTTCATATCTGAATATAAGTAGCGAAATTAGTTAAGATCAGTAATCAAAACTTAATTCTTTTATTTTAAATCAATCTATAATTAAGATAATTCCCTCCTTAAGATAATTACGGACGGACAAGAATATCAGGAGGTCATAAACTATACCCTGCAGCTTTCAAAGTGTTACAAAATAAAAACGTTAAGAAAAATCTGTAGATATTTTTCATTCAGTATTTTTCAAGTATCCTCCCTGAGTTAGAAACTTAAATATCTTAATTGCTGTGCAAAGTGGCTTCAGGGAGGAATCAGCATAAGTGTACATTATTGATCAGTCCACAATCGACTGTAACTTTATGTCGAAGGAATCAATTTAAGTCGTTCATGATGAAAAAAGGAGTTATGAGCTTTTTTAAAATGTTTTTATTTGTTTTCCTCCTCAGAACTTATTTGCTGTTTCGCCTAGCAAACCTTTACGAAAATTGGCTTCTTTCCGCAACCGTTCACCTTCCAGTCAATCACCAGCAAATAAAACCAGTAAACAGGTCCAAATAGGTGAGTAAAAGTTCCTCTGACCCTTCCCCCTCCAATGAAAAAGAGAAGGAAAAGAAAGAGAAAAAATTTTGAGGTCAATCATGCCCTTATCGTAGCGCATGTTTTTTGAAGTATGATTTGCTGTAGAAATCTTATCAATATTTTATTCTGTCTAAAAATATTCAACAGCCTTCGTCTATGAATTTCATTGGTGGAAATATAATCAAAACAATTAGGGGAAAAAATAAAAAATAAAAACATAACCTCCGAAAAAACATTCTGCATCCTTGGCCCTTGACGATCTGAACATTCGGTCAAACATTTTAGACAAAAAACAAGTTGATTACTATCTTCTGCCAGTTTAGAAAATTGATTCCAACTTTAAATTTACCCCAAAAAATTGATAGTATTTTTGTGGTTATTTGTGCTGAAAAACTGGTATTTTCAAATAATTAATTTGACTATTTCTATCGTCCACAAGAATTTAACACTTGGCCTTAATTTCTCAGGAGAGACCAAGGATAGCCCTAAAGTAAGCCTAGTAACTTTTTTTAAATAATGCTGGCACCTCAGAAGAGTTCTTCCATTCAACTCTTGAAATGGGAATGTTATTTTTGAAACTAGAGTATACGAATAGTTTCTAATCAATTCAAATTTGTTGCAGATCAATTCGCCTCTCCCAAGTCGAAGACGTGGAAAGGTCGAATGGCAAAACAGTTGCGTCGAATTCATCAAGGTGCTGGCTCACCTGTTTCTCCAACCTCTCCGGGACCTCCGTTTCCAGAAGGTGCCACAATTGGGGTCCCTCTGGAAGACTGCCCACCTGTGAGTGCCGAATTATTTATTTATATTTTACTGACCTTGTATTGAATCTTTCCTATTTCAATTTTTTATAAAGAGGAAAGAGTCATTGTGAAATCCAAATTCTTGAAGTTCGGTATTTTTTTTCTTATTGTTTTCATGATCATGATCGGTTGATTTATCAAAAATTGCTTTATCGTTTAAACGCAAAATTATGTAATAAATTCCACAAAATTCGAAAAATCTGGACAAAAACAATCATAGAAGAACTAACCTCACTCAAAGTGCATCTGATACTGCTGTAGAGCAAGAAACACATCTTCCCCATGAAGAGCGAATAACCCAAACTCTTATGGAGAAAACAGCAAACTGTATCTCATATATTTCCAGGTGATATAGAGCATACATGTTCCATACTTTAGTGCAGACATGGGAGTAATGGACAGAAAATATGAAGCGAGGCTGTGAAATTAGTACATGCATCCGTAGTAATAAAGGCAGGTTTTCTTTCAAACGTGGCTTCAAGTTTATGACAATGAAGGGGCCAGGCACATGAATTTAAAATCCCTATCCTCCTTGTCTGTTCAAATGTACCCAGAAGGGGCTCAGACTCATTTTTCTACTTTTGGTTTCAATACTCTGGAGTTTAGCATGAACACTACCTTTCTAATTAGTTGTTTAAGCGGACTCATCAGAAGCCTTGTGAACACGGTACTTCTAGCCAATGCAACCATCAGGACAAAATTCTGACTATGCTTGTCAGCTTTTCTCCGCATGTAAATATGTGATTTCCTGACGTGTCTTAATTTCTTTGTTTCAGTCTACATTCTCTGAATTTGTTCCGTTGTTAGTCGAATTGTGCACAAATATTGTTGAAACCAAAGGATTAGAAATTATTGGAATTTACCGGTGAGTTTTTTTGGTCAGCAATTTCATAATTTAATACACATTTCTCTCCAGGCCTCTCAGCAATACTAACGGATACCCAGGGGTCGGTTCAAAACAGGCTCAGTTTGCTAAACTTTTTGTGAACTCTAAAAAATATGAACTGCACTATTACGACTTAAAAGTAGTAATCACAGACAAGTATCTCTTTCTTAGTGAACATGTAATTAAAACCCAAGATCCAACTTAAATTTTGTTGAGAATGTACTCTAGCTAGGTATTTCTCAAATGAGGATTTAGTTTTCAATGACTGATGTGACCATTTTGATTTGGCTTTTTGATATGAGTAGGAATGTTGAATTTTATAACTTTAGCATGAACAATTGAAGTTCTTATCTTATTTACAAGATTATTTCGGAAATTTTCAATAATTAATTTACTGTTTTCTGTTGAACTCATGATGAAAAAACTGTCCTGTGATGCATTGATCTCAGGGATCGGTTAAGAATTTGAAAAATGCTGTAAGTTCTGGATACGGTCATGCAAGTTCCAGATAAGTCTTCTGTTGAGTTAACTATGTATTTGATGTTAAGTGATTTTCCTCATTTTTTCTCTCTCTTTTTTCAGAGTTCCTGGAAATACATCAGCGGTAACCTCGCTGACAGAGGCTGTCAATCGAGGTTTGGATCCATCAATCTTAGACCAGGATCCTCGCTGGTCGGATGTCAATGTCATCTCTAGTTTACTCAAATCATTCTTCCGTCGTTTGCCAGATTCCTTGCTTACCTCTGAACTTTATGCTCAGTTCATTGCTGCAGACAAAATTCAGGACCCCCTGTTTCGCATGATCACGATAAAAAAATTGGTAAGATTCATCAATATCTAGCATTTTTTTAAAGTTTGAAATTCTTATGTGCTAAAATTAGTTGACTGCTTTTACTTTTTACCTCTTGTGGAGTGTCTTCAATCCCACCGGTCAAATCTGACCCAGAAAGATCCACTGTTGCAGAGTTTTAAAAATGCCATATCGGCGTCATTTCTATGTGCAAACTCTTTGAGTAGACACTCAATGTAGCGCTGAGCGTTCCATATGATAAATCAATTAAGCTTCAAAAGATTTGCCATGAAAGATGGCCTTTAAAGTTCAATGAGATCCTAAACTCTTTGAAAACTTGAACTTTTTCTACTTGGCAGCTGTTCATAAAATATGTAACACCAAATACGTAACAGCTTTTTAAACCTCCCTCCCTCCTCATTAAACTTTTGCTTTGTAGTTTTCTATCCTTCAACTCGTAAAAACAAAATGGTGTAATGCTTTCCCCTTAAGCGTTGTGTATCTTATGAATAGTTCCTAGTATTTGACGTTTCCATAAGATTAAAAATGGTAATCATACCATCTTCCTCAGCAGAGATTCCTCAACCATATTAATGGAAAAGCCAAAAATATGCAAGTAATTTTTTTGGTCAAATCCCAAGTTGAGCACCCCCTATTTTATCTTATCTTTTCTTCGTTTCAGCTCCAAGAGTTGCCTGATCATCACTACGAAACTTTGAAGTACCTGATGCTGCATTTGGGAAAAGTTGTCGCTCATTCAGAAGTGAACAGGATGGAAGCAAGAAATCTTGCAATTGTTTTTGGTCCAACTCTGGTACGAGCAGCGGAAGACAACATGTTGGCAATGGTTACAGATATGGCATCACAGTGTCGAATTGTAGAAAGTCTGATCTCTTACGTAAGTACAGACTGGTTTTTCAACCCCTCGAATCATGCTGTATGAAACGTTAGTCACCAAGAATCTTTGTTTGTCAATAATTCCATGAGGTTGTTTATTTGGTTCTGCATTAGTTCAAATCCTATCAAATAAGATCCAGAAATGTAAAGGTGCAGCAAAAGACATGAGCTATTTACTTATTTAATTCTAGATTTAATGCAGCCACAAAAAACAGGATGTGCAGAGCAATGTTGTAAGAATATTTTGCAGGGTATCTAGGAATAGGGAAAATGGGCCTGTTGCAAACTTTTGCTAGACTAAAAATAAGGGTTGTTCCCTATAGATATTGTCTCAAAAATCATGATGAGCGCATTGGCAAACTCTGAAATGCACTCCTAATTTCACAATCTGTATAAGAAATTTGCTTCTTATTGGGGTTGCGAACTTTGTGTGCAGTGAATTTTTCTGATAGAAATTTGAGCCCCTAACAATCCTTATGATTGCCTAGCACTGAGCTAAGTTTATTTTAGCATTTTTTTTCCATGGAATAAAGGTCAGGGAGAACCAGGTTAAATCAGGGAGACGGAAAATCCAAGGTTCAAGGAAAACCTGAAAAATCCGGGAGAGGAGAATTAAAGTGTTGCTAGTCACCCTGATTTTGGTACAAAAAAAACCTACAAAATGTTTACTACTTATTAGTATTATTATTTCTTTTTTCCGCGAAAAAGGAAATTTTTGAAACCTAATCTTGTCATGTCAGAAGAGCTGTATTTTTTATTATTTATTGTTTCTTTATTTCTCAGTGTGATTGGTGTTTCTGTGATGGCGATATGCCTGATTTCTCCAACAGTCCTGATGTAGCGTCCGCTCAAGATATTGATCCGTCCTATCTCAATCAGAATCTGCTTCTGAATAATATCAACAAACTAGAAGGTATGTTTTCTCTTCAATTTTTGTACTTTTTATTTGTTCGAAGAGGACTATCATTTTGTGAAAGATGTTACCTGCAAAATTCTTTGATCCCAATAAAAGACAGTGATATTCCAGAGTAAAACTCAGTCACATAAAGTAAAAGCTGTGAACAAAAATAGTTAATTGTCAACCTTTTGATTTACGCTTTTTTTTTTTTTTATTCTGACAACCATTCATAGTTTGTCCAAAATTTGAAAAATAAGTATGATTTCCTAAAAATTGTGTCTCTGAAAGAAAATTGTCACATAGCTCAGCAACAGACTAACTGCCACAGTACTTAAAAATTATGAAATTAGTACAGTCACAGTCACCAATCAGAAAACAGTGAAAAAAGAAGAAAGAAAATCTAATGGTTACTTTCAGTCAACCATTTAAACGAAAAAATTAGTCTTTCAATATTATTCGAATTGAGTTAAGTAAAACAGGTACACTAACTTTGCGGTATCTCAAACTCTCATCTTCTATTTTAATTTTATGGAAATAAATCAACCAATATTTTTGCCTAAAATTGTTTGAAAATAATCCTCATACGGGGATGAAAAATTGTGACAATTTTTGAGTGGTATGTTGGTTGAAGGAATGAATAAAATAGGAAATGAGATTTTAAAACAATGCAGTGTAGATGTGACTTTTTTGTTTAATTCTATCAATTTCAAATACTATATGACTCAACTGATTCAACATTTGGTAACCCTTGACATAATATTTCCACATTTATCTTTATAATGAAAACTCAGTAACCATTAATTAAAGTACTTATTTTGAGCGCTTTTTGTGTAAAACCTCTGTTCCGTATCGGCGCATTCTTGTGTTGTGCTATTTTCTTTACATATATTTATTAGATTTACAATCCGTTTTTCTGTTTTTTTATTTTTTTTTTTAGCATGATTTTTAATCAACTTTTATTATTAGTGTTTAAATTTTTTATAAAGAAAATAGGCTGGTAGTTGTTGTTTCATGGCCGTTTACCTAACTTCTCAAAGCAGATATTAAATTAAATTATTTGTTTTTAATGTTGATTAGATCTTCCTTCATCCAGATGAATGAGTTGAGATTTTGTTGGTAGTGAAAAATGTACGCCCCCCCCCCCCT